TTACCATTCTTCTTTCTCCAACTACGAGCACTACTTGAAGGTTACACACAGGAGTACAAAAAAAAAAAGAAAAAGTTGCATTATTTTCCCATCTATCAGGTAAAACAACGTGTAGTATCTTCCACGCCTTTCGAGGCAGTCTCAAGTAAGAATAACTACATTAAAAACCTAAATGCTGATTTTTCAGCATGTTGCACGTCCCCAAATATAGGCTGTTATCCTTTTCCAGCGTGGATTTGCACCGGCAGCCTGACAGGAGATGTGCTATTTTACACATCTGCTCACAGCTATAAACCGGCACTTTTTGGGGACAGGGCTGACCCAAACTCAGGTGCAGCTGATTGTAAATCTCACACAGCTGCCCTGTCAAAAACCCGCCACGAAATCAGCACAGGTGAGTCAGTTTTAGTGTAATCTCACACCAGCTTTACCTACGCACATCCACACGCGGCCACGCCAAAAACCCATTCCCCCAAATAAAATATTTACGCCTTCCTCATCTGAATTTCAAAAATTTGCTTCGGGCTGAAAGGCAGGAGCCGGCAAGGGTTAATCCGGTGTCAACACCTTGTGTGGATCCATCCATCCATCCGCTATCCCGGCGCGGTGACACCGACACGGTGCGGGCACCGGAGCTCCGCCAGCGGCCCCACAGCCCCCGCGATGCTGCGCCGCACTTGGCGGACAACTCCGGGCTCCGGCTACCCACCGAGTCCCGTAGAGACGGCGGAGGGGCCGGATCCCGACTCTCCCCCTCCCCGTTTTCCCCGCCGCCGACCCCCGGTACCTGCGCTCCCCGCCGCTCCCCCACCTCCGCCGGCTCCCGGGCCGCCCCGGCCGCGGCCCCGCGGGGCTCCGGGCTCGCCCCCCGGTGATTGATGGCTCCGGGTGGCCAATGGCTCCGGCTCGGCCCCGTCCCGGCGTGTGCCGCAGCCCCCGCCCCGCGCCCCCTGCCCTGCCCTGCCCTGCCCTGCCGTGCCCCCGCCCCGCGGCACCGGGGGGCATTTCTGCCCGCTCCGCGCCCTACGTGCCGCGCCGCACAAAGTTCGCGTCGCCCTCGTCCCCCGCAGCTGCCACGGACCCCAATGGTGGCGGGGGGAGGATGCTCGGGGGAGGGATGCGATGAACTGCACGGTAGCCGCGGGTGAGGGGGGGGGCGATGCCCGCCGGTTTTATTCCGGCGGTGCCGACCCCCGCCCCGCAGTGCGCCCCTCAGCCCCTCCGAGGGTTCCGAGCGTCTGAGGCCTCCGGGATCAGCGTTTCAGAGCGGCTGCTCTGCCGGCGAAAGGGCGAGGGGCAACTCCGGCGGGGAACGCCGAAGCAGCCCGCCTGTCCCTAATCACTTTTTGCGGTGTGTCCCCCCCTTTGCCCGCACGCCCGGTCCCCATCCCCGCGCCCGCCGGGCTGCTGGGCTCTGTGCCCGCCGGCTGCCGCCCGCCCGCTGGCCCCAGCCAGCACAATGCTCCCCGGCCTACCCTCCCGGCCCCGCC